CGTTCACCCAGCAAACATGTGCTAGATGTCTGCCTGACACTCTGCCCTGTGATTCAAAGATTAAAACCCAATGCTACCCCTTTCCCTAGACTCCATGTTGTCTGAGAATAGTTCATCCCCAGTCTGGTCTTTGCACCTTAGAGGCAGGGACTGTTATGAACCTCTTCTAGTCCCTCAGCACCTGAGAGAGTCAACAGGGTCTAAATAAAAGTTCCTGTGCACTTCCCCTAGAGCAGAACTGCTAGGTGTCTGCCATGCTTCTGTGCTCCCAGGTAGAGGCCAGGGGAAGGAGATGGGTCATGCTTTGGTGGTCAGTGCAGCTCCTAGTATAATGTGAGTATCAGTACAGGAGACCTTATTCAGCTATATATTGCGACTTAGTAGTTCTGCATCGATAACAAACCCCCAGGGAAGGGGGACAATGGCGTTGGTGCCCTAAAGACACTTGGAGGGCCTTTGTTTACTCTGTGGTCTCAGAGACTCTTGTTTCTGGGTGGCAGGGTAACCCTTCCACAGGGCTTGCTTTTCGTGGTTCTTGCTTCCAGTTAGCGCTTTATCATTATTATGTTAAGGGTTCTTCTGCAGCAGTACTTGGCAGTCCCAGATTGTCATCGTGCACTGCGTCTCACAGTGTTATTCTAGATCACCCTGCCTGAAGTATCTCCACCCTCCAGCCTTCACACTGGCAGGGCCTGCACTACAGACTTGTTCTCCTTGTTAAAGCAAGTGGTTCTGCCCTGACTGAAGCAAGCTGTGGTTAGGGTCTCTAAGAGACTGAGGAAGGTGGACTTGAGATGGGAACATCCAGCATGCTGAAGCACAGGTTAAACGGAGTTACCCTGGCCTGCCTTACTTGCCATCCCCAACTTCCATTGAGAGAAAGATCAACAGTGCTAATTACCATGCATAGGAGATTTCAGTTTACAGAATGCTTCCACATACACGATCTCATCTGATAATGAATTATTAGCAACCTCTGTCTTCACAGTCTTCATATCTTTAATTTTCACAGTAATTTAATGAGCCCTGTTTTAAAGTATGGAAGCAGAAAGGCGCAGTAAAGAGAATGTCCAAGGTTTTCTCATTTCCCACCTCTTCACATTATCAGTGTATTGGAATGTGGAATACAAGGTATAAGAAAATGAGCTAGAGGACTGAGGAGATGGCTCAGTGGGGAGGAGCAGTTGCTGTGACTCTGTGGACCCAGCTCCAATCTCCAGAACCTACGTAAGAAGCTGAGCGTGGCGCTTGCCCCTGTCACCCAGCACTGTTCGGGGTGGAGACAGGAAGATCCCTGGGGCTTGTTAGCTGCTGCCCTGGCTCCAGATTCAATGAGAGGCCTTGTCTCAGGTGGGGGTGGGGATAAGACAGAAATAAGTAGGCACCAGACATACACACATGGGCATACATACACAAAAAGAAATGGAAGACGATGGGAATCAGGCACGGTGGCTCACACCTGTAACCCCAGCTGCAGAAGGCTGAGGCAGAAGGATTGTCTAGTTCAAGGCCTGTTTGCGCTACAGAACTATCTCAATAAAATTCTCTTGGCTTGGAAAAATAAAGTCTACGATCAGAGTGATCACAGCCAGTGTCAGGTTCAGCCTTGAAGCATTCTAAGGTACAAGCACAAGGAGAGGCCTAAAATACCCCCTCGTGGGGCAGAAACAGGAGCGGGATGAGGAGCACGACTGATCAGCTCAAGGCAGGTGAAAACAAGATGGAAATTGAGAAAAGCTACACAGAGAGGCAAGGCTTGTTTTTTGTTTCTTTAAGAGACCATTTAAAAAAATTAATTTCCGCACAAAGGCTTGAAGGACAATAGCCCTGCCCAAGTATAAGGCCGCCAGCGCTACTGCTTTTGTGAGCACAGCCTCATGTTAACCCCTTCAGCCCTCACCACAGCCCTGTGAAGCAGTTGCTCTTATCCCCAAGTCACACCCAAGGAAACAGAGATAGAGACTTGTCCAGGACCCGGAACTGGCCGGCGGCAGATCTGTCTCTAGCTGAGGCTCCAGCATCCTTGTCCTTAGCCTTCCTGAGTCCCCAGACTAACAGCGAGAGAAGGTGGGAGCTAAGACGAGTGTGTGACTTCCACACCTGCTCATCCAATGTGGTGGCCGTGCTCCTGAGCACATGGGGCTGTTTAGCCTTAAAATTAAATAAACGGTAATATTCTTGTCCTCACTCCCACTTACCGCATTTCAAGTACTCAGTAGCCCTCAGTGCCGAGTGGCTACCATGCAGGACAGTACAGATGTTTATATCACTGGGGCAATTTCTTGTGTATGTGTGTGTGAGAGAGAGTGTGTGCATCTCCATGTGTGTGTTCAGTTGTGAGTGTGTGTGTGTGTGTGTGTGTGTGTGTGTGTGTGTGTGTGTGTAGACAACCTCAGGTATTATTCCTCAGGTGCCATCCATGGTTTTTGTTTGTTTGTTTGTTTGTTTGTTTGTTTGTTTTGTTTTGTTTTGTTCGTTTGTTTTATACAAGGTCTCTCTCTGGCCTAGAGCTCACCAAGTAGGCTAGACTGGTTGGCCATTGAGCTCCAGGGATCACTGTCTCTGCCTCCCAAGCACTGGGATTACCAGGGCGAGCTGCCACAACTGGCCTTCTTTACATGAGTTCTGGGAATCAAACCCAGATCTCTGTCCTTGCCAAACAAGCACTTTAATATAACTAAGCATCTCCCCACCTCTCGTTGGAGAAAATTCTATTAGACAGCTCCAGCCTAAGTATACTTATTCTTTGTCTCATAACTACGTTTTCATCTTTTCTCTTTCTAGGTCTTAACTAAACTAAACTTAAGGAATTGGAGGCATCGCCTCTAAAGGGCACCAGCTTTCTGGTGTGGTTTGAGAAGCTGAGGGAAGTCCAGCTGTCAGCCAAAGCAGGAGAGTACAGTCTGTGAGAACTGAAGGGCAGAGGCAGAAAACTAAGCACCATGGGGGCGGGGGGGGGGGGTGCCTTCTTGAAGATTGAGCTTTCAGTTTGAATGGAACAGTGAATCCATCAGCATGAAAAGGCTGAGTGCCAGGCACTCCCAGCTCTAAGTGTGTGGCTCAACTCAGCAGGCACTCTCCTTACCAACCCCTGCAGACAGGTGAGCTGAGGTTAGAGAAGTTTAGCGTCTTGTCCGGGGTCTGGACAGAGTCTGACCACAGAATCCCTATTTCTACCTCCTCTACATACCCTACTATGTGTGCAGATGGATGTGTCTCTCGTCTATGGGCGACACTATTCAGTCCGAACACTCAAAAGAGGACATTTCTAGAAAAAACAGGTGTTCCTAAAGTGTGCCAAGGTCTGCCCTTTACAGTAGAAGTGAATGGAAAGAGTCAGCTTATAAATGTGAGTGTGTATGCATGTGTGTGTGTGTGTGTGTGTGTTTGTGTGTGTGTGTGTGTGTGTGGTATTGAACAGAAGGGGTAAAGCCCCAGGGGGTAGGGCAAGGGCCGTGGAGCGGGGAAGGGTTGTATCCCAAGCTGCAGGATGCATCCTTCATCCTGAAATGGACTGGTACAGCTCCTTAGTGACCTCAAAGCAGGTTCTAAGAAAATTAATATTAGGGAAAATATCTAGAGAACACCAGCCTAGGTTTTGTGCTGTCTACAATATTCCATTCCAAGGTAACTTCTTGGCAACAAAGTGTCTCAGCTTGTTCCGATCTGAATTCTACACGTAGCATTTACTTTCTGCCACCGTTTCTCACTGTAATCATTAGAAACTGGATAAAGAGCTCTGGTCCGTATCTAAGCATCCCGGTTACTGAGCAATGGCTCAAAGAGCACATGCTGCTCTTGCAGAGGACCCTTGGCTCCCAGTACCCACATTTGAAAAGTCGTGACTGCTTGTGACTCCAGCCTGCCACTCTCTTCTGGTCTCCATGGGCATCTGCACTCATGTGCACAAGGGTGTATATGTGTACCTGAGCACACCCACAAACAGACACACACAATTAAAAATAATAACATAAATCTAGAAGAAAAATGAACCCTAGTTATCCTCCCAAAGTCATCCTCTCAGCCTCCTTGAAGAATGATAGGCGAGCACATAAATGTCATTTAGCGTCTCCTCTCTGCTTATGTAAAGCTCAGTGCAGTCAAGATATGACATCAGTCACTGTGGTTGCCAAGATCAGTGTTTGTGCATGCAGAAGGCAAGACCAGAGGAGGAGACCCAGTGGGTTCTGCAGGGGGGACTCCAGGGACCTTAGCGAAGACAGCTGGGTGAGAAAAGGCAGGCAGTGAGGGGTGACTTGAACTCAAGGCTGTGGCTTGATAGATTTGGGCTTTAGTTCAGGGTCTATGTGGTCTTCATCGATAAAGCCGTCTGCTCCCTGACACTAGCCAGTGGCCCGGAACTCTGCTATGCTGCAGAGGGAAAACTACGAAGCCATCGCCTCCCTCCACGTTCTTGCTCTTCCCGAGTCCACTCTCCCCTGTACTTCTTTCAACCCAAGGCATCGTGTGCATTCCCTGAATAAACACAGCACACCCTACACTGTCCACAGACACCAGTAGGTTGTCAGCGCCCTCTTTCCCGGCCAGCTTCTTTCTCCAGGTTCTTTTCTTTCCCTGAAACTTCTGTTCCCCACAGCACTTGTAAACCGCCTCCCAGCAAGGTCAGGTGAGCCACTCGAGTTCACTTCATAACAACTTCAACAAACACAAAAGGGCGTGTTTGTCACAAATACGCAGCCAAGTGTTCTTTCCAGAGAACAGAACACTTCTGATCCTATCAAAGTCCGAGTGCAGCGTAGACAGTCAACACTGAGTCATCATGAAGTTCGCTCACGGGGCGGCTCGGTGGGTGAAGGGGCTTGCTGCTAAGCCTGCTGACCTGAGTTCCAGCCCTGGCGCTCACATGGTGGAAGATGAGAGCCAACAGATTGTCCTCTCTCCTCCACATGCAGTTCCACACGCAGTGCACACGTGCACCCTCACATGCACACGCATGCACACATAATAGGTAAATAAATAATTTGAAAACATGCTCTCACCTGAAGGAAGCACGAGCTTGCCTGTATGAAGGAAGAGGAGGGCAAATCACAAACACTGGAGTCTCAGGAGCCACCAGGCATTTTCAAACAGCCTTGTCACCATCTCCTGTCACAGCAGTCCTCTCTCCTGGTCCATACCTGGTCCTGATGTCAAGAACAGGGCAACTAGGTCCTTTGGAGGCCGTTTGGTGTGAATGTCGTATGCTATTCAGCCCTTGTATTTTTTTTTTTTTCTGGTAAAAACTCGTGCTTTTGAGACAGTGCTGAATCCTGGCCTTGCTTTCACTGACTAATACGATGAAAGTCTTGGGAGCCCGTTTCCCACTTTGAGCAAATTAGTGTCATCTTCCAAAGCAAATGTGCTTCCGACATCTGCCTGCTGCAGGGATGAGACAGCACTCCCTTCTCAGAGGCATAATGGGGCTTCAATCAGATCAGGCACCATGAGTGCTCTTTAGGACTCCATCTAGGACGCGAATTGCCGCCACCAGCAGGTCTTAGCTTGAAAGCATTTAATGGGGACTCTAAGATAGAAGCCTCATTTTCAGCTTCATATGGCTTCATCCCAAAAAAAGAGAGTAGCAGAAGAGCTGGGTTTGTGTGCACATAGCGTTCACCATGGGGAAGCAAGAACACGGGGCTGCTTTTGTTCTTCTCGCATTGAAGGGCAGCGTGTGGTGTCTGTGTTACTGTAACCGCATCAAGTGGGCAGACCTTGCCCAGGAAGAGGTGTGTGCAGGCTTATTCTCCGTGACCGTGCGTGGCTCTCAGCACACATCCCTGAAGGCTTAGGAAACCTGACAGCCAGTGCTGTGGGGGTGCTTTCTTTTTCTGTGGGCGGGTGTTTTGCTGAGTGCCTTCAACACTGTGTCTGAACTACCGGAGCCGCTGTGTTTCCCAGGTGCAGGTAGATTTGAAAATAGTACTTTAGGAAGGACCCCCTTAGCTGTGAGAGTGGTTGTTTCCGGGGATTCCTGTCAGGCTAACAGGGCCTTGGGTTCAATCCTAACCCCAGAAGAAATAAAAGGAAAGGAAAAAGGGAGGGAAGGACAGGGAGGGGAGAGAATGGAAGAGGACAGGGAAGGGGAAGAGGAAGAAATGGGTTAGGAGGAACTTGGTGGCACCTGTCGGTAATCCCCGCAGAAAGGCCCGGGGCAGAAGGCTCACAGGTTTGAGGCCAGTCTGAGCTTCATAGTTAGACCCTGTCTCCAAACATAAACAACAGCAACCAAAAAAGCCTAGAATGGGTAGCTTAGATGAGAAATTGAGCTGGGTTTGTGTACACGTGCTACCGATGCTAGAATCTGGGGTTGGGATCCAGCACTTCTGACTGTTAGTGGATTTGTCTTCTCAACTCATCCTTTCCACGGGCAGAAAGAAAACAGGCTTTCTGATATCATTTCCAATAAAATACTGCCCCACTATGAGGACCCACCCTCATAGTCTCACCTACCTCTGGTTACCAGTGCATGCGTGTGCACGTGCGCGCGCACACACAAGCACACACACACACACACACACACACACTCGCACACGCACGCACGCCAAAGGTCCTATCCCTAAGACCCTTCGTGCTGAGGGTAGCCTTCACCATGTGGGTTTGAGGAGGAGAACACAGTCCATTCCACCGCCGACCGAGTGGGGCCTCTGCCTCCCCTCCCCCACCTCAGCTCACTCTGCCAGCCTGAGAGGGGAACGCTTAGCATCCAGCAGCTGAGAGCTGTCCCTGCTCTCACAGAGCTCAGGCCTCTAAAACCCAGAAATAGTTAAACAGCAGTAGTTATGTGAGCTATGAAACAACACACATATCTAGGCCAGGACAGGCTTCCCCAAGGCGGTGACCTGAGAATCGAGAGTGAGGGGGAGTCACCCTGCTGTGGGCGGTGCAGAAGAGCATTCTGCCCCAGGAAGCAGCCAAAGCAGCTGCCCCCACGTGAGAAAAGACTGAGTCGGGTGTCTGAGGACCCTTCCATTGTTTCCCACCGGAGTATAAGCGCTTAGATAGAACTCCCCCGGGGGTGCTTTTGGCCCAGAAAGAATCCTCTCTGCTGGATTTCATCAGCAGAGAGCTTAGTGGCAGCACACATTTGCTCCTTGTCATGCAGGTGGCTTGTATTCAGGAGGAAAGCTGGGCATACTGCAGCTGGATGTACCTCCCTTGTTCTCAATTCATAACTGGGAGAAAAAAAAAGAAAGTGTCCTCAAGATGGGGCATTTCATCAGCAATCCCTGAAAGGGGGAAACAAGTGCAGAAAAATACAACTGAAATGCTCGAGTGGTCCTGTGTGAGTGGTCCTGTGTGAGCGGTCCTGTGTGAGCGGGTCCTGTGTGAGCGGATCTGTGTGAGCAGGTCCTGTGTGAGCAGATCTGTGTGAGCAGGTCCTGTGTGAGCGGATCTGTGTGAGTGGTCCTGTATGAGCGGTCCTGTGTGAGTAGGTCTGTGTGAGCGGGTCCTGTGTGAGCGGGTCCTGTGTGAGCGGATCTGTGTGAGCGGTCCTGTGTGAGCGGGTCCTGTGTGAGCGGGTCCTGTGTGAGCGGGTCCTGTGTGAGCGGATCTGTGTGAGCGGGTCCTGTGTGAGCGGGTCCTGTGTGAGGAGGTCCTGTATGAGCAGGTCTGTGTGAGCGGGTCCTGTGTGAGCGGATCTGTGTGAGCGGATCTGTGTGAGCAGGTCTGTGTGAGCAGGTCTGTGTGAGCGGTCCTGTGTGAGCAGGTCTATGTGAGCAGATCTGTGTGAGCAGGTCCTGTGTGAGCAGATCTGTGTGAGCGGGTCCAGTGTGAGCAGATCTGTGTGAGCAGGTCCTGTGTGAGTGGTCCTGTGTGAGCAGGTCTGTGTGAGCGGGTCCTGTGTGAGTGGATCTGTGTGAGCAGGTCCTGTGTGAGCGGGTCTGTGTGAGCAGGTCCTGTGTGAGCAGATCTGTGTGAGCAGTCCTGTGTGAGCGGATCTGTGTGAGCAGGTCTGTGTGAGCGGGTCCTGTGTGAGTGGTCCTGTGTGAGCAGTCCTGTGTGAGTGGATCTGTGTGAGCGGGTCCTGTGTGAGCAGGTCCTTGTGAGCAGATCTGTGTGAGCAGGTCCTGTGTGAGGAGGTCCTGTGTGAGCGGATCTGTGTGAGCAGTCCTGTGTGAGTGGATCTGTGTGAGCGGGTCCTGTGTGAGCAGGTCCTGTGTGAGCAGATCTGTGTGAACAGGTCCTGTGTGAGCAGGTCCTGTGTGAGCGGATCTGTGTGAGCAGTCCTGTGTGAGCAGGTCCTGTGTGAGCGGGTCCTGTGTGAGCCGGTCCTGTGTGAGCAGATCTGTGTGAGCAGGTCCTGTGTGAGCAGGTCCTGTGTGAGCGGATCTGTGTGAGCAGTCCTGTGTGAGTGGATCTATGTGAGCGGGTCCTGTGTGAGCGGGTCCTGTGTGAGCGGATCTGTGTGAGCGGGTCCTGTGTGAGCGGATCTGTGTGAGCAGGTCCTGTGTGAGCGGATCTGTGTGAGCAGGTCCTGTGTGAGCGGATCTGTGTGAGTGGTCCTGTATGAGCGGTCCTGTGTGAGCGGATCTGTGTGAGCGGATCTGTGTGAGCGGGTCCTGTGTGAGCGGATCTGTGTGAGCGGGTCCTGTGTGAGCGGATCTGTGTGAGCGGGTCCTGTGTGAGCGGGTCCTGTGTGAGCGGATCTGTGTGAGCGGGTCCTGTGTGAGCGGATCTGTGTGAGCGGGTCCTGTGTGGAGCGGATCTGTGTGAGCGGGTCCTGTGTGGAGCGGATCTGTGTGAGCGGGTCCTGTGTGAGCAGGTCTGTGTGAGCAGGTCCTGTGTGGAGCGGATCTGTGTGAGCGGGTCCTGTGTGGAGCGGATCTGTGTGAGCGGGTCCTGTGTGAGCGGGTCCTGTGTGGAGCGGATCTGTGTGAGCGGGTCCTGTGTGGAGCGGATCTGTGTGAGCGGGTCCTGTGTGGAGCGGATCTGTGTGAGCGGGTCCTGTGTGAGCAGGTCCTGTGTGAGCGGGTCCTGTGTGAGTGGCCCCACCTCAAGCTGAAGGACTTGTTCTTTGCAGACAGTTGATATCTGGTTTAAACTTTATCTGCTTCGCTTCAAACTACTTTCAATCTGGTCTTCCATCCTTTTTGCCCCTGAGTTTTAGAGCATAAACTGTCTTCTCTAGAGACACCTTGGCAGTTTTCTGTGTCTCTAGATCAGGGATAGCTGTTGGAAGAACTTGCCCATGACAATATCCATGGGCGTCCTGTTTGCTGACGGGTTTTTGTGGCCCTGCCTGTTCCTTGCACTGTGCTCTGGTCCCCATTCCCCCCTTCACTATGTGCATGTTTATGCAGTAGGTTCACGTGTGTTCCCCAAACCTACCCTGTCTTACAACACTGTCCTTCTTCCTTCTTTTTGGTTTTCTTGTTCCTGTTTAAGATAAAGTCTCATTATGTAGCTCTGACCGGCCCAGAACTCACTATGTAGACCAGACTGGCCTCTAACTCACGAAGGTCCTCCTTGCCTCTGCCTCATATGTGCTGAAATTAAAGGTGTGTGCCATCCCTTCTGGCTCTTTTCATTTTTTTTTTTTTTTTTTTTTTTTTTGTAGCTGTTTTGGGGACAGAGTTTTGCTATGTAGCCCAGGCTGGCCTAGTATTTGCAATGTATCCCGGGGCTGGCTAGCACTAGTTACATAACCCCGGCTAGTTACGTAACTCACAGTAATCCTCCTGCTTTAGGCTCCTAAATCCTGGAGTTACAGGTACACACTATCCCACCCAGCTTTCTCATTGAGTTTTTGGAATGCCATGTGTACAACTGACCCACAAGAAAAGAATGCCTACCATGCTCTCTTGTGAGCAGCCAGTGGCTTCTCTGTGGGACCCAGAAAACTTCAGAAGGGTTAATTTGTCCTCTCCTCTGAATCCTTGCCTCCTAGATCAAAATGGATGTTCCCTTAAGCGTTCTGTTTGTTGGCTTTTGGTTTTTAGTGTTTTCATTATTTGTTTTTAGTAGTTACCACCAGGGTTCAGCTCTCTCTGCTGCATGAAAAGTCCGTTTCTGGGCCAGTGAGGTGGCTCTGTGGGTAAGGGTGTCTGCCACCAAGCCCGACAATCTGAGTTCAATCCCTAGGACCCACGTGGTGGCAGGAGACGACGGACTTCCACAAGCTGTCCTTTGTTCTCCACACACTCGCTGTGTGACATGTGCATGCCCCCCCAATGGATGAATAATATAAAAAGGAAAAGTCCATTCCTGCAAAAAGCCACAGCGTTTCTTCTTTGTAATTCTGCTAGGTACACTGGTAATAATCCCTTCCCTAAAAGCAGAGAGGCCCTCAGCGGTGTTCCTTCACTGCTACAGTGATTCTCACTGGCCCTCGTGGGTCTCCAGACCGCTGCTTGTGGGCCCTCTGTGATCCTCAGTCACCAGAGCATTGGTCTGTGGCTGCTCACTGTGTCTGGCAGCCAAGACACACTCCCACCAAAAGCTGAGTTAAGCTTCTCTCTCCCCTCCCTCGGGGGCCCTGCAGTGGGCTTCCCAGGATGATGGCCGGCTAAGCAGCAGCCATGCCATGGCTGCCCTGCACTCCTGTGAGGATGATGCAACTGCTCCCCAGCACTGATCTCTTCCTCGGCATGGCATGGTGGTCAGGGATGGCTCTTTTCCCTATGCCGGTCCTTCTGCCTCAAGCAATCTCATCCCACGAGTTCTCTGCTACTCCAGGAAGTCCAACTCATTCTTCAAGGTGTAAATCAGAACGGGGCTGCCTGCTGCCCGCCCGTGGTGTGTGCTCTGTGCCGCCCCTTGGTAATGCGTGCTCTCACTCTTCGGCACACATCCTGCATCTTACTGCATTTCTTACTTTGTGTGATTGTCTTCCATGTCTCTG